TATTTTGGGTGGGTGGGGGCAGGGTGCTTAGGTAATCTTCCCTTAAGTGGCAAGGTGTGTGATTTATTTTAGGAAATACCACGCTGAGTTTCTGGGCAATGACTCCTTATTACTAAATAGGTTCTCTGCACATAAATATTGAAATTGAAAGGCAATGCAGGCAGAGAACACACAAATCAACTTTAATTTTGACAGAAGTCAAGTTGTAAAATTAGGGCTGTTAAAACAAATGGCCTTGCTAACCCTGAACCCTAACATTAGCAGATTTATCAATGCCAGGGCCAACCTGTCCTAGGAGAGATTTCCCCCAGTGGAGACTGTGCTCTGACTGGGTATCCCATGGGCAGTGTGGAGTGAAAGAAGATGAACTCCCAAGAGGGGAGGGTCAAGGTGGAAAGGCCCAGGACCAGCTACTCTTTTGCAATTAACCAGGCAGAAGGGTTACTGCACCTCACCTGAGGCCATGCAAGTAAAGCATTACAGAGTCAGAAGGGATGTAGGGGAAATTCACTTCTCCTAGGAGTCAGCAAAGAAAAGACTGTTCTGCTAACAGAAGAACAGCTAGAAGAGAATTGGATTCTGGTTCTGAATTACATAATCAACAGACAAAAACCTGTAGTTTGGGTGAGTCTGAGAGTCTCTTTGCTTGTTGGCATAAATTATTGCCATGTGTTGAGCTTTACTCCTAGCACCATCTCAGAGAATGTTAGAAAGCCCTTCACTTATAAAGCCTCTGAAGTGAAAAGTCAGCATAAACTGTACTGGGTAAAGAGCAGATCCAGGATTAAACTCAAATTCTTTCAGTTACTTGGCTACATTTGTTTGACTCATACAGTGCACATAGTAAATCAGCCATAAAAGAGGCACTTAGCACCTTTCTTTGAGCTGTTGGCCACAGGTGTCCATCAAGGTGACTCAGTATTCACACGGCACCTGCTTCCTGAGCTGTCAAGTAGAAATCCCTACCCAGGAGGATATCTATTACTTATCAGACAGGATGGAAAAACATGCAGATTGATAAGACAGAGCAGCTTCTGGTCATGTAATTTATGTTAAAAGATTTATTTATGCTTAAAGAACTAGGGTACAGGCCAGAGGGGCAGATGCAGTGAGAGGCTTCCCCAGAGACAGAGCTGGGAGCAGAACAGGCAGCTCAATGAAGTACACTGCTGAGGGGAGCAGCGAGCGGGCAGGAGAGGTCTGCCGGGCCATGTGGGTCACCTCCAGGGCCGTGATCGAACTCATACTGAAGTGGCTTTAGCTTCTTAGTGCTATGCTTTAACCTGCTGCACCACCAGGGAGGGCCTTGGTCATGTAATTTTTAATGTTCCATTCTCAATGTCCACACTGGATGAGGAATGGTTCACAGTACAAAGTAGAGATAGTGACAGTAAAAATGATATTTATCATGTCTGCTCCTTGAAAGAAAGGATCTAAACTTCCAATTTGTTTATTTTCTTGGGGAAAAAAAATGATTCTGGATTTTAGAATCTTTAGTCTTTAGATAAAGGAACTTTAGTCCCACTCATTCAAGTAACAGGGTCTAAAGATCAGTTCAATGTCAGTATGTTTTTATTATATCTTTAATGAAGAAATTTACTTCCCAAATTGAAAAATTTCTTCTGTAATAAGGGTGTGCAAAAGGAAGGTTTAGTGTGGGCAACTGGACACTTACCGAGGACAGTAATTTTTTTATTTTTATTTTTATTTTTTTTAATTTTTTTTTATTAAAAAGTT